GGGGGGTATGCTGCGCAAGCTGCACACACAACAATTGACTGATGCGCATCTAACGAAACATCCCTGGCCCCCCAGGGGGCTGGGGTGATGGTGCCACGCGTTCTTCGGTGGAAATAAAAACACGCAAGGCAAGCAAGGCAGGCGTGCGGAAAAAAACAAAACAAAGGAATACCCCCAAATTTCAACCAAGAGTACTATGTCCGTCTGCGAGGGGGGCACGTCAACCCGCACCCCCCCCCCCCCCCCCTAAAATGCTAATGACCAAAAACCGGTTCCTTCCCCCCCTTGCAAAAAATCTCATACGGGCGCCGGCGTTGTCAAAAAACAGCCAGCCCCGTTTTTCAACGCTGTTTCCGTTCGCCCGGGGAAGCCCACCAAACACCCAGGCATCGGGCAGCTAAACCGGTGGGTCCGGAAGCACGAACCCTCCGCGCTTTCACCTTACCTTGTGAGCTAGCCCTCGATCGTCAAGCACCTGACGGGTGGGGGTGGGGGGAACAGACAAAACATGTTTGTGCAGCAGGATTAAAACGCGCAACAAAACCAACCCACATCACCCCTGCCGCTCGCCAATGCTTGCAAAATGTCGACCCGTTGCCGTGCTCTCAAAAGATGTGGTATCGTGCATGTACACGCCTCTCGACTATTCACACAAAAAACAACGCTTCAAATACATCCGTAAACAAAGGCAAGAGATGCAATGCAACAAAGAGGACAACAATCTTGAATCTTTGAAGCTAAATTGATCCAGCCCACTTCTTTCGTGACCCCCACAAAAAACACAAAGAAAAGGCGGAATTTCGCCATAAACGCACAAGAAGCTGTTCATAAGAACTGACTACAGATGAACGTGAGGTGCATGTGAGATTCACATAAACAATGTTGGGTGGCAACTCAATGAAAAGGGTGACGTACGCCTTGCGGTCCAGCGCATGTCGATTCCTACTGCCCCCGCCAAGCACAGTCCCCCCGCTTTCTTACCGGCAGCACGGCAGAGCCTTCTCCCATATCCCCCCCGCTCCCGCTCCTGTTCCCCGCGGCACCCCCGCTCATCTCCCTCCGGAGGCCCTCCAGCTCCTTGGCCATCTCGGCCAGCAAGCGGTTCTGTCTCGTCAGCTGTTCCCTCAGCTCCGTCTCCCCCATGCTCCCGGCGCCCTCCGCTCCGGCCGAGTCGCCGACAATCCCCCCGACCTCCGCCGCCGCCGTCGACCGAGGCCGCTTGGCCGGGGGCACCGACACCATCCCGCCATCAGTACGGCGGCCGCCACCGCCGACGGAATTCGGGCTAGCGCCCTCCTGGGCTGCCGTCCCGTCCGCCGAAGCGTCTCGTGCGGACACCGACATATCCCCGAACAGCCCCGTGGTTGAATCTTCGCTCGATCCAGTCACGCTCTTGGGGGCAACAACGGGGGCGTCGGTTACGGCCGTAGCGGGCGAGGTTGCGCCGCCGCTGGGCGATGATGATGCCTCCGCCGGAGCGCTAGAGATGCCAAAGAGTCCCTCGAGGTTCGCCGTGCCCTTGGTGATTCCTTTGGTGACGCCTTTGGTGGTGCTGTCTTTGGTGCCGCCGGTGGTGGTAGCGGTGGAGGCAGCGTCGTTGCTGGCCGTTTCGTTCAGGTCGCTCCGAAGCCGCTTCACGTCGTGGCGGAGCGTCTGTTGTTTCAGGAGAGGTGTTTTCCGTTGGTGTTGGCGCGGGGGTTAAAAAAAAAGAAGACAGCAGTTGGTAATGATTAACAGTCCCACCACTCGTGCCCATAATAGGGTGAGACATCGAGGGAAACAACCCATTCTACAACATATGAGTTCTATCCATTGAAGCGAGTCGGAATGTATGCCAAGGAGGCCACTATGGCTTACCCTCCATTTATGAGTTCAACAGCAGCGACAACACACAACACACACCTTGACTTCCGAGTAGAGGTTGTTGTCTGGATTGTCCGGGTCTGGCACGTGCAGCATCGCCCACATCTCGTTCCACGCCGCGTCCTCCGGGTCCGTCCAATCCTTGTCGATCATGCCGCCTGGCCCGGCGTCTCCCGCCCCGGGCCCGAGGCTCGTGTCCCAGAGCGCGAACACCCCGTTCTCCACGGCCAAGGCAGCCGACGCCGCAGAAGCGGCGGCGGCAGCAGCGGAAGTGGAAGCAGCGGAAGCGGCGGCCGAACCGCCCTCGCTGCTTCCCGCCGGTGCCGCTCCCTGGAGGCCCGGGTTGGCCCCTGCCGCAGCGGCGGCGGCGGCGGCGGCGGCGGCGGGGGTGGCGGCCGTGGAGGAAGGGGGAAGAGCAAGCATCGCACTCGCCGGAGAGGCGGTGGGCGGTGCTTCGAGCTGCCGTACGGGAGGGTTCTTGAGGAGCTGGATAATCCTGTCCTTCACGCTCTGTTGTTCAAGGGGAAGGGGACGGGGGCAAAGATCGTGTACGCGTTGGGCGTTCGCTAGAAAACGCTCGGGATGCAGCGCTACCATCCCAGCGTACTGCTTGTAAAAAAACACGATACGCGTCGGTGAATATGGCAACCTTGTGTACTCTCGCAACGACAGACCAAGCTACATCTCCCAAACTTCTCATCAAGCTGTCTAAAGCATAAACGATAACGTTCGTTTGTCGTTTGTTCACCACCACCCCACTTCGTGTTCCAATACCATCTTAACAGAGTCTTGCATTGTCTGGAAAGGCAAATGTCGCCAAACACTAGCAAATGACGAGGTCAAGTCAACAAACAAGTGGACGTTTTCTCCCCCACCTCCCGCAAAGCCCATCTGTCCACGCCGCCGCACACAGACGACGGACAAGAGGCCAGCTCAAGACGCATGGTGCAATCGAAGCAAGCACAGCAAGCAAGCAAGCAAGCAAGCAATTGTTGGTCCACCATCATCTATTCAAACCTGATCGACGTCGTAGAGGCCCATGTCGCACACCGCGGCGGAGGTGCGGCCTCGGAGATCCGTCGCGGCCTGGTCAGCGCCGTTGCGCAGCAGCATCTCCACGATCTCCAGCTTGCCGTGAAAGCTGCTGCAGTGGAGAGGGGTCCAGTTGTTGTCGCCCTGTGTGCGCGCAAGCAGAAAAGAAACAAAGGACGACCCTTCTGAGATGAATATCGGAGCAGAAGAAACAAGAGAAGATCCTTCTGAGATGAAGATCGGAGCAGAAAAGGCCGTACAGCCCGCCAGATTTCGAACTGACAACTAACACGAGCCAGATGAAGACGAAAACCACACCCTGGACAATTGAGGATTAACGGTCTGTTGTCGCTGCAATGGATCACGAGAGAAAAATATCGAGATCCTTTGTCAGGGACAACAGATTTTGAACGGTTCCGTCGATATACATCGTCAAAAAAATAGAATTTTACCGTCCTTTCGACATCCATGGTCAAGGACAAAAGATTTTCAACGGTTCTGTGCATATGCATATCGATGTCTGTTGTCGAAGGACATGGATTTATGAATGTGTTATCGATTACTTCATCGTTTACTGCAATAAATTCCTACGCCCTCTATCGATGTCACATTTTGCTATCGACAATATCAATAGATAGACATTGACCAGGGCAATTTAGGACATTTCGGAAGAAAGCCTGTCAGGGTCGTTCTCAACGAAGAAATCAGATCTCGAAATCACATTTCGATATAAGAATAAAAGAGTCGCATCTACCCAAATCCGGACAGAAATGGCCTGTGTGTCTTAACGGGAGATCTGTCAAATGGAAACGAATCTCTGCAGTCCACCGCGAACAACCTGAGAGGTCCGCCGCTTGCCAACTGCCAGATTGCTGTTGTGACGTACTGTTACGACGTAGCCACACCACATGGGGAGCTATCGCTCCCGAGAAGCACACACCAAACGCGTACATGGCCTCTGTGCGGTACTGACATAATGTCTATGCATGTGACACTTTGAATCGAGCCTCGTCCAACGGAAAGCCGCCAATTCGTCTGTGCATTTGAAGTCCGACAACCCACGGGAGATTGCCCCACAGACCAACACATCCCATACACGTTTTTTTTCGGCATCAGTCATGTGCAACAACGATGCGCAGTCACCCTCCCTTTGGGTTGGTTTTTGTGCTCTTTCTTTCCTCTGTGCTCGGCGGTGGATGGAGTTGGTGTGGATGGGGGTAGGTGGGCACGCGCCATGTATGCGAGTAGACCGTGGTCCCGCAACTATGGACGCTGTTCACGCAAATCGGGATCCGACTAAATGATTTCACCTTTTTTCAATCCCGATTTGGTTTTGGGTCGTCCTATTTTAAGTCCTAATGATTCGACGGGTTCCATAACATTTCAGCCAATCAACGAAAGAGTTACGTGGATCTTCCGGTCTTACAACGAAATCTAAATGTGAGTTCGAGATCTGATTTCTTCGTTGAGACCGGCCCTCACCTCTATGGCAGTCAACAATGTATACCGGAAGACGGCCCGCGCATTCTATTTACATTGCCAGCAATGTATTAAGGAATAATAAATTATACCAGCTACTTTTGAGGGATGCTGTAGCCGCAATGTTCTATTTCGTTTTCCTTTCTATTGTCCGGGTACGTAAAGCAGATGAGCTCGCACCCAGGGTGTCCATCACTCATACGGCATCTGCAAGAAAACAAGTGGAACTACTGTAGGAACAGCGGTGGATGAAGCTCCTTCGACGACCCGTGGTAAATACCGAAAACTGCTGTACGGTTCGGCCAGGCGAGTCTCTCGAAGGAGTTCATCCCAAACCAAACCAGTACACTACACTTCAACAACAATTCAATCTCTGGTCCACGCCGAACAGCAGCAAAGGTTCGGGCGGGTTGGGGCCACGAGTCCTCTTTTCTTGGCCAGCAGCTGGCTGTTAGCTGTTAAACGCCATCTTACCTTCGCGAGGAAGGAAGCAGGAGGCACGCCAACGGAGTAACATTTATTTACCTGAGCGTTGATTTCCGCCCCCGAGTTGAGCAGCGCGGCGACGACGTCCTTGTGGCCCTCCTTAGCAGCGCGGTGCAGAGGGGTGCGTCTCCATTTGTCTCGCTTTGTTGTTTAATTCCATGCGTTGGGGAAAACAAATGGGTGCGAGTCGGTGTGTGTGTACGTGAACACTTTTGCTCGAAACATACGGAATCCGGAGTACAAGTTGTCATATACCATTATTTTGGGCGCAGCGAACGACTCTGAAACCGACAATAAAATAACCCGAATGCAAATGGTTGACGGTTTCCCGCACACAAGATACAGCGCTTTTCTGCGTCGTCTTGTGTCTGCATTAAAGAACAGAGAACGACACTAGCACAAGTTGTACGTGCGTATCCGTTCCGGAGTGGTACATATATACAACATTCACGGCTGCTGTGTGGGAACAATTATCTTTGTTGTTATATTTTGCATACGTACAAGACACAGGAATATCTTGGAGGACAGGAGGGCGCAAGTGTTTTGAAAACCGCCAACTACATGTACTTCCGCCCGACTGGCGTGGATTGCTTCCTCGGACCCTACACATGATTTATTCTGAAGAAGACTTGGCAAAGAATAGAATTTTCGGTTCTCAGCTCAGAAAAACCGGCCAGCTGCGAGAGTGAAGACAGACGTCTCAGGGAGTGGCGACTGTCGGGTGCGTGCCCTTGACGAGCGCACACGAGCTTACTTCAAGTGCCACGCAGGACTTCAGTTGGACTATTTGATCATTTTCGTGTCACCCGCACCCTCGACAGAGTGGACCTGGAGACTGGAGACACAAAACTGCCGCTGGCTGTTGCAGTCAAAAACAATAATAAACACGGCCGCCGCCGGTGGCTGTCCATTTTTGCTCTCCTCTCGCCCGCTCTCTCTGCAAAGATGGATGATGCTTGATCTGTATCCAACACTCACCACATGAACGCTGGCCCCCGCTGCGAGGAGCGCTTGCACGGTGTGCGTGTGTCCCTTCTGGCACGCCCAGTGGAGGGGGGTGTATCTGCGGGGTGGCGGAGAGAGCGGGGATCAGCCGCTTCTGCGGGCTATCATGTGTCTGGGGTTGCCTCTTGTTCTGTGTGACAGCAGTTGGAAGTTGAAAAGCACGATGATGAAGCCTTGTGGCGCTCTCGACTCTCGAGCACGAAACGCTACTCTCAGCAGCCCCCTCCGCGAAAGCTTCATCACCAGCAGCAGCTACACGGGGAAAGTCGTTCCTTCGCTTCGATTCGTGATTGCCTCCCCACTTACCCGTAGGGGTCTCTCTTGTCGATCGGGGCTCCCTCCTCGAGCAGCTTCACGACGGCCATTATGTCATCCTGTTTCGCGGCCGAGTGGAGGTCGACAAACTGCAAGCCGGCCGCCGCCATCCCAGTGGTGTCACCTTGCCGCACTATGGGCACGTCCGATCACAAGAGCGGCGGGGAGCAGGAAGAACTAGACAGCCTCCTGGTGGCTCTGGTGGTCTCTGTCTCTCTCCGGACGCTGTATCTACTCCTTACCTGCCGCCAACAAAGGAGCCTGCAAAATCAGGGCCGCAACAACGTCTAAACCCCGGGGATGGTCTGTTTTATCCCCCCGCTTGGTTCGATATTCGTCCCGCTATCTGGCCGAGGTGGTGGTCTGCTGTCGCGGCGTTGCAGGCTGTGAGAGCACATGCCGGTCTTGCGTTGCACAATATTATATATTTATCTTGGAGGCTTCGTGGAGGCAGAGGCGATTGTTGCTCTCGGGGCAGCTTGTTGAACCTTTGCACTGCCAATCGACATTGTACTCTCCAACAGGTAAAGAAAAGGCTCGTATTGAAGTCTGCTGCCAGTTTCCTGGACGCAGCCCCGTGGGATTTAGCAGCTGCTACCACAAGTACATAGCACTTCTGTTTCACAGGGCCACGTCTGTCTGCATTTTCGGTCTATCCGTCTCTGCCATTTTGTCAATAGCGCGAGAGCTGCGGTACGGGGTACTGGCCTTGGATAGTCCGCTATTGCTGTCGGTGCGCTTGTTCGAGGAAGGATCTTGACAAACCTCAACATGCACAACAACCGGACGGTGCTTGCTGCGTTGAGTCAAGTCGCACCACAATGTAGGACTGGGAATGGTACCTCTTGAGGTGGTGAATTTGAGATGAAGAAGATTTTGAATTGACACACACACAACCAGCCGAGTCGTTTAGATTTTGGCAGCGTTGTTTTTTCACTTGTGATGAGTGCCAGCTTCCGTCCCGGAATTGGTTCATTTGCTGTGTGAGTGATACCTTTAAAAGTATGTCGAAGTACTTGGAAGTGCGTCGAAGCTGCTGTAACTGGTACTCTGGCAGTATTTTTTTTTGGTTTGGTGGGAACACTACAACAACAGACGCACTTGGAGCAACAGTCCGAGAGGAAGCGATTACTATAATATCATATGCATATCATAGCTCGAAGTATTACTGTTTGCGACGTTGAAGGTGTGTCAATGAGTAAGCGCCGAACCACGTCATGTCTTGAAGAGCAGGCTGGGGAGGATTCGATTTTCCTTGTTTTCTGTATGGGTCACTCGTTGCACCTTCGTAAATGCCACGACCGTAAAATGCAAGTACATTAGAGCAACTACATTTATGTACGCATGTATGTATGTACATCGTCCCGTTTTTGTTTTTTATTTCATCAGGCTGAGTCTTGCGGTGTGATTATTTCCGGATTGGATTTGGGGGGGGGGTCCTTTTCTGAACCAAAAAAAAAATTTGGGCGTCTTACGGGTAGGAAAATGGCATTTTCCAACAGCCCAAAATCCAACAGGGCAGTTTCCAACAGCGATTCCGGCCGGCCTGTTAGAAAATTGGCCCATTTTCCAACAGCGATCCTGTTGGAAAATCGCTGTTAGAAATGGGGGGGGGTACCCCCTGGTCACACCCCGATCGTGCCAGAACGAGGAACTACACCGTCTGCTGGCCAAACAGAGGCCTGTATCATGAGGTCATGCACAAACCCTCTGCAGGTATCTAAAATTCAGGGCGTTCTACGTCGTGTTGGCCGCACACGAGCCGGAAACGTCAACCCTGCCACATTGCTCTGCTGACGTTCTTGCCTTTGGCCGAAAAGAGCCGTTTTTGCGCCTGCTGCATGTGTGACCAGTTCAAAACGCATACCAGAGAGAGACCTTAAGCCGTCGACATCCACAAACTGCAGCTAATGGCGTGTGTTCATACTCATGCCCCCTGCTCGCGTACCAGAAACAGAGCGTGTTGTCCAGTTTGGATTGCACACGGCCTGCAAACGTGAACCGAAGTGTGTTGCGGTGTTGACTTTTTGGTCTTTTTTCTTGTTCCTCCGCGTGTTTGCTCCGTGTGTCACCCGCGACCAGTCAAAAACGCATGCCAGAGAGAGGCCTTTGGCCGACGACATCCACAAACAGCAGCCAGTGGCGTGTGGTCATACACATACCCTCTGCTCGCGTCCCAGAAACAGAGCGTATTGTTCAGTTTTGATTGCACACGGCCTGCAAACGTGAATCGAGATGATGGTGTTCGGTGTTGCCTTTTTTGCACGTTGCTTTTTTTTTCTGCCGCATGATCCGAGTCGAGTGTGATCAGTGTACAACGCATGCCATCAGAGAGAGGCCTTTGGCCGACGTCATCCACAAACTGCAGCCACTGGCGTGCGATGATATACATGCCCTCTGCAGGCGACCCATATATAGGGCGCTCGGTGTCTTGTTGGTCGCACACGAGCCAAAACCGTGTACTGAAGCATGCTGTGACTCACAAGAATATGAATCAGCCTCTTTTTTCCCTTCAGAAAAAAATACGCCTCGAGAAATCGTAAGACGGTCGTTTGGATCTGGATAATTTTTTCGGTGCAGGCCACCCCCCCCCCCCCCCCAAAAAAAAAAAAAAACCCCAAAAAAAACCCACCCGAAAAACCAACCCCCGGAAGAACAAAAAAACCCCCCCCCCAACCAAAAAAAAAATTTTG